TCCCTGTAGAGTACAAATGCACATTAATTGCCTTCTGGCTTCCTTTCACAGCACCTCTGCTTCCTAAACCTCAGTAGTGCAAAACGAGACTGAGCACTTATTGTAATTAAATTACATTACAAATACATTATTTGAACAATTGCATGAGGTATTTTGCATAGTAGTGTGCACATTAATCATAGAAAGTCAATAACACAGTCCAGAAAATATTAAGCATTAAATGCAACAAATACATAACACAGAGCATGTGTTTCCTTAAAGAGAGTAGTAAAACAGAAACGCCCAAAGGGCTGAATAAAGTTTGTGTGGGGTAACAGAAACAAAAAAAAAAAAAAAAAAGTAATGGGTAACCAAAAACGAAAATGCATACCTGTAGAGTACAAATGCACATTAATTGCCTTCTGGCTTCCTTTCACAGCACCTCTGCTTCCTAAACATACAAAAATACAGCGTTTACACTATATATAAAGGGACGCTGAAAACTCCGATGATCTTTCATTGCTATCAGAGCGCGACCCGCGTGCCGTCGTGAAATGGCAGATGGAAAGTGAATCTGAAAACTTCAGATTCAGCACAAAATAACACGAGACCGCCACACATAGTGTTAATGTATTAACATCAGACATTATACATTGAAAATGATAGCTTATATTATTCATTTTCCATTGAAAACAGTAAATTAGCTCAGCAGCACATTTTCACTCGACTTACCCTCAGTAGTGCAAAACGAGACTGAGGGAGACTGTACGCTACGGAAGCTTAGGAAGAACAGAAAGGATAGTGTGCAGGAAGGGTCATTTCCGCAGGTAACATTCGCAAAAATAAAAATACATGAAAATTACTCAATGAGATAAAATTCACAAATACTCAAAACCATTAAATGATAAATAAAAACAAAGATGCTAATTTGAAAATAAGAATTACTAAAAGTGCATTTTTAACTCCGTTACACCCACCCCCACTGAATTTTATCGAACTTGGGCACCTAGTACACAACCACTGCAGAAAATACTACAAAATGACATAGGGTCAACATCAATAGAACCAACATCAAATGTATCCCATAAGGATGAAGTGGTATGAGGGCAGCGCTAAACCCACAATCCAGCAACTGGCGACACAGGGGTGCCTTGTACACCCCACAAGACCCTTACATAGTGCAATGTAGGCCCATGATAGTGAAAAAAAACAAAGCAAACTCTTAAGAGTTTTAAAAGTACACCAACCACTAATACAAAGAAACTACAGACCAAAACATGAGCTATATGGTAATGCTTCAGTCAGTAAAAGCCTGGAACATAGACTTGCAAACGGCCTTAACATTAAACTTTTCCTGAACAACATCCTGCCTGGACATAGTTTGTATTAATCTGTTCACGGGTTTGACTAAGCGACCAAATCTTGACCTAACCTGTGTGAATGCACTGGAGTCACCAGAGTGCACGAGTGAGGTCTGACCAGTAGTGTTCAGGTTGTCTGACAAATTGTCTGCCTGTGTCACAGTGTCATGAGTGTGGTTCGGTTGTCTCAGAACGTCAACAGCAGTCACAGGTCTAGAGTCATAAGTCAGGTTGTCCTCAGGCAAGACTGGGGAATCGTGAGGATCACAGGTCAAGCTTGTTACATCAGCAACATCCACTTCTGACAGACTAGGTACAGACAACTGTGTGATCCATTCAATGGTTCTTCTCTCAGAGTCCACAGGCTTTGGAACAGTCAAGGGGTCCTGTCCCTGAACCACGGTCATAGCTGAGTGTCCATAACTTCCATCAACAAGGCTGTCACTAGCAGTCCTGCTCGCTCTCTCAGAAGAGGTCTCCCCTGCCTCTCTCTCATCATCAGATGTTGGGGCTGAGGAAACTGCAACAGACACGGATAAAGCATGGTCAAACAGCCCAGATGAGTCACCCACAGGGAGGAAATTGACCAGCATCAGTAGGTTCCTGTGGACTACTTTCTCCTGTCCAGTGATTGTATCACGGATCCTGTATGTGTGTGACTCTGGATTCATGTCCACCACAGTGTAGATTGTTGATTCCCAGCGATCAGCAAGTTTCTTTTTACCCCTCTCTTTCCTGTTGGCTAAGAGCACCCTGTCACCAATGTCGATTTTGGAGCCCTTCACTCTCTTGTTGTACAACTGAGCGTGTCTATACTGCTCTTTTGCAGCATGGTCTTGTGCAATAGCCATTGCTTCTTTCAGATCATCGGCGAGACATGCCACGTACTTGTCGTAGTTTGTCACAGCAGGGTCATGAAGGACACTCCGAAAGAGGACATCAACAGGTAGGCGAGGGACACGACCAAACATGAGATAAAAAGGGGGGTAGCCAGTCGTCTCATGGGCTGTGCAGTTGTACATAAAAGTCAGTGTTTGTAAGCGTCGCGGCCATCCAGCTTTATCTTCAGGAGAAAGTGCACGAATCATGCCACCCAACGTTCTATTGAAACGTTCTACACTACCGTTTCCCATAGGGTGGTAAGGGGTCGTGTGTGACTTCCTCACACCTGAGACTTTTAGGAGCTCACTGATCAGCCGACTTTCAAAATTTGCACCCTGATCACTGTGGATCCTTTCTGGGAATCCAAAGACACAGAAGTACCGATCCCAGAGAACCTTTGCCACCTGCTTAGCCGTCTGGTCTTTACATGGAAACGCCTGAGCCATCCGTGTAAAATGGTCAGTTATTACCAAGACATCGACAGATTTGTTTCTGGAATCTTCTGCTGACCAAAAATCAATGCAGACAAGCTCCAGTGGCCTGGTTGACATAATACTTTCCAAGGGAGCCCGTCCCTCAGGCTCAACTGTTTTGCTGACAATGCATCTTTGACAATGACGAACATACTCTCTCACATCTCTGTCGAGATTTGGCCAGAAAAATCTCTGTCTTGCCAAGTTGAGGCTCCTGGACTGAGCTTGATGTCCAGCTCTGTCATGAATTCCTTGCAGAACATCAGTCTTTAGTGAGTCAGGAACCACATATTGGAAACGTTTTGCCTTGGTTTTCTGATCTCTTGAAACTCTGTACAGCACGCCGTTGCTCACAGTAAGCCTGTCCCAATGCTTCAAGTACCTTATGACATACGTACACTGACTCTTTGAACCTTTCTCTCCTAGAAGGCCTCCTACGTCTCTCAACATAGGACAGAATACGAGAGAGAGTTCCATCCTCTAACTGTTTATCATGTAATTCCTTTTCAGTGTAGGCTGGTAAGCTGTCTTGTCCAGGTGGAACCAACTGAGGTAGGTGTTGCAGCACTGAAACAGCTCGAGTCCTTGGGCCAGCATCCCACTCAATGTGCGAATGTAGTACAGCAGACACATCCTCCACTTCAACAGACTGGTTGTTCATGCGAAGATGACTGGATGCGGACTGGGAGTTGTTACTGACTGGAGAAGGTTTCCTGTGACCGATGGATGACCGGAAGGCGTTTTGGACCGAAGTATTTGACACGTCTTTGACCTCGTTCAAGAGACCAGCATAAGGTTCAGCAAGCAGCCTGCAGCCAACACTCTCCTTGACAAATGGTACACGGCTCAGGGCATCAGCAACAATGTTCTGCCGACCAGGAACATACTTAATATCGAATTCGTAACTCGCCAACTTTGCAACCCAGCGTTGCTCACAGCAGTCTAGTTTTGGCTTTGTCAAGATATGAGTCAGTGGGTTATTGTCAGTCCAGATTGTGAATTTGTGGCCTTTCAGCCAGTGGCTGAACTTATCACAGACTGACCATTTCAGTGCCAGAAACTCCAACCGGTGAGCTGGATAGTTCTTTTGTGATTGAGATAACGACTTGCTGGCGAAAGCGATGGGCCTGGCACGTGTTTCACCTGCTTGAACCTGAGACAGAACAGCACCTATTCCATCCAGAGATGCATCAGTCGACAGTATGAAGGGACGAGTGAAGTCAGGATGGGCCAAAACAACACTGTGGACCAGTGAAGCCTTGAGGTTTTCAAAAGCCTCTTCTTGCTCCTGTGTCCAGTCAGATGCACACAACTTCCTGCTTGACATTTTGTTTTTATGTTGCTTGCCTTTTCTTTTCACACCTTTTAGTAGTTGAAACAGAGGTTGGGCGATGGCAGAATATTTGGGCACAAAGTGCTGATAGTAATTAATCATGCCCAAAAACGATCTTATCCTCTTCTGCGACGGAGTAACGCCATCAGTCTCCATAAAGTCAGAGCTTGTCATATTTGTGATGCTCTCAATTTTACTGGGGTCCGTTGACACTCCATTCTCATCTATTATGTGTCCGAGAAACTTAACAGACCTCCTGAGGAAAAAGCACTTCTTGGGGGCCAACTTCAAGTTGTGGCTGCGTAGTCTCTCAAACACCATCTCCAGGCGCAACAAGGAAGTCTCTTCATCAGGAGCAAACACCAACAGATCATCCAAGTAGCACAGTAGACTCAGGTAGTTTTGGTCTCCAAAGATGCTGGTCATCATTCGCATGAAACTTCCAGGGCTGTTGCAAAGGCCTTGTGGCAGACGATTATACTCGTATAGGCCCATGGGAGTTGTGAAGGCAGAGTATTTCCTGTCGTCCATGTGCAGTGGCATATTATAAAAACCAGAAGTGAGATCCATTGTGCTGAAGAAACAGTTACCCCCCAGTGCTGCCAAACAATCTGCCTGGTGAGGGAGGGGATGAGCATCCTTGAATGTTCTCTTGTTCAACCAGCGAAAGTCTGTACAGATGCGGAGATCTCCGTTCTTTTTCCATACAAGCACCAATGGTGATGCATATTCACTTGTCGACTTTCTGATTATTTCTTTCTCCTCCATCTCGCTCAATACCTGGCGAAGTTTCTGGTACTGGCCAGGGGGCACTCTCCTGTATGGAAGCCTGAATGGTCTGCAGTCAGACAGGTGTATGCGATGTACAAAACCCTTCGCCTCCCCACAGTCCAGGTGATGGCGTGAAAAGACATCTTCATACTGTAAAACAAGGTCCGACATCCTCCTCTTACAGTCCTCTGAAACTTCACATGATTCAATGTCAACAGCACTGAGTCAGACTGACCTGAGCTTGTCCTTGGCGTCATTTCCATCAGCAGTAGATAATGCAGCTGATTGGGTGCAGCTGAACAGCGGGACCTCTGAACGCTCAGTAACGTCCATGTCCTCAATAGACACACAGGAATAGACATCTGCCAGCTTACCATTGCGTCTCAGCAGCACCGGCCTGTCAGATGTGTTGATGAGCTTTAGTGGGACCCACCTGTCTCCCCACAGGGAAGTCACAATCTTCGCAACCAAAACACCCCTAGGAGCTGAGCGTGATGAAGTGGGCTCTGTCAAGATGGTACTGCCTGGGGAAACAGCTGTGTTTTTGGGTAGTTTACCCCAGATGAGATACTCACGGCCAGGCTCGAGGCATGTAGCGGAGTTACACCTGACTGTCTCGATTTTGATAGGAACATCTTCACCCCTCCAGGGGTTCAGACCAGACAGCATAGACAAGAAATGTTCAGCTTCTGGGTCTCTGTCAGGGCAGGGGCCGGACACTGCCTCCCAATAGACCATTTCAAAAGATGTAAACAACACTGGTCCAGAAGCACTTCCTGTTTCAGTTTGTAACTGTTTTCTTTATTTCACATGTCAAGAAAACATCTTAAAGATGTTTGTTTAACTTTTTGATTCAGTTTTAAATGTTCTGTTGGTTGTATTTTATCCCAGCTTTTATGTAGTGTTAAAAAACTGAAACAGGAAGTGCTTCTGGACCAGTGTTGTTTACATCTTGTGAAATGGTCTATAGGACTCACACAGCTTAGACTGATGCAGAATGTGCTTTATAACGTTGGTTCCTAGTATCAACTCATCACGTTGACCTGGGACAACAAGCGTGGGGACTAACACTTTACAGCCATACACTTCCATTTCCACTTCAAAAGCACACTTTGGCTTGACACGAAGTCCACCACATCCAACTAATACAACATTTGCATCTATCAGCTTTTGGTCTGTTATCACCCCGGCATCTCTCAATTTTGTCTCAGCCGCCTCACTAATGCTGCAAGCCATTGAACCACTGTCCAACATTCCGCCCATTTTCACTGAATCACCCATTATCACAGAAGTGTAGAAAAGACTGTCACTGCTGCCAACTCTGTGAATGTTCTGGTAAATAACAACTTCAGAGTCATTACATGAGTCTTTCACAGACAAGTAAACTGTCTCAGCATCGAACATGTCATCAGTGTGGGAGTTTAAATAATGACCTGTACTAACTCCCTCTGGATACAGGTCCTCTAGTTTCCCTCAGACTTGGTTTTGGAGGAGTTGTTAGCAGGGCAATCCTGTTTGGTATGGCCTGGAGCAAGGCAGACGAAACACAGTCTCTCCGACATGCAGTGGGAAATGGTGGTGTGACTGGACCCATTACAAACTCGACAAGCAGCTTCTCTGAGATGCCTGTCTCGCGATGTGCGCTGAAATCTCCCTCCTCTGATAGGCTGGTAAGTATTGCGCTGCTGCATTTTATCCATCATCTCCTGAAATATGTCGACCATTCGAGTGAGAAGCCTATCCTCTGACTGCTGGAGGTTTTGAGCAACGACTGGGACTGAAGCATGGCTTAGAGTATGCTGGGACTCAACTTGAATTGGGACAGGTGCTGGAGAAGAACAAGGAGGAGCATGATATTCATGGCGCTGAGCATGAAGAGAGGAAAGTAAGGGGCGTGAATCAGTGTGCTGCTCTGACGACGTCACACTCGAAGGTGGGTCAGAGGCCTGCACAGATGTGATGGTAGTGATGGCCATCACAGGCTTTTCAGGTGAGTAGTGACAGTTGATCTGTAATTAGCCCTCTGCTCTCTCTGATAATCGTCAATCCTCAGCTGAACATCACGTGAGGTCCACTCATGAATTGGCTTACACTTTAATGTACAGGACAGCTCTGGGTCAGGGCAGTATTTGACAAACATAAGGGCCACCTCATCATTCATATTCTCCGTCTGTTTCCCTTGTCTGTGTAACCCTTCAAGAGCTAGGTCTGCTGCCTTGTTCAGCCTAATCCAGTAGTCAACTGGGTTTTCCTTAGATTTAGGTAGAGTACCATAAAAGTCTGTGAGTGGGAGACATGAGGGGGCCTCACTGAAATAGTGGAGAAGCACATTGTAAATCAGTTCAGGTTTACTTTTAACATCAAGTCCAGGATCACTACGCAGGGCAATTTTCACAAGATCTCTGGCTTTGCCCATTAAATGACTCATAATTTCTTCTGCTTGGTCATGCACAGGAATCTCTTGTTTTCTGAGATGAGTTTTTGTCATGTCAATCCATTCATGGACTGAGGTTTTGTCAGTGTTGTCACCTCTGAAGGACTGAAGTCCTTTATCAGATTTAAGATGGACTGTCACATGTGGGAGGTCACGTCTATTAACATCAGACTGTGAGTTCTGGTCGGGAGAAGTAGTCTGATGGTCACCAGTCATGTTCACAACACCAGCTGACATCAGCTTTGCCACAATAGATTCACCTATCTGAGCACCTAGCTGCCCTACCATATCTGTGAGATGGTGAATGACATCAGAATCACTGCTAGGTGTGGACGTTTGGGGACCATCCCTAAAATACCCACTAACAGGAGTACATCCTGGGCTCTGACCTAGCCCCGTATCTGTGTAACCATCATTTTTACACTTGGAATGTCCCACATCTCTACTGTTAGTAGTATCATAGAGCAAAGCACCCCTACCTTTTGGCAGATTAGGACTAGCAAACCTATCCATTGTTATTATATCGTCCACTTTCAATTAATCAAATGTACTTGCGTTGTGTCTAGGCTTATTCGTAAAGAAACAGATAGTAGTTTCAACAGATTAACCTCAAGAACAAAAATTATTTATACAATATTAACAAAAATAAACTGATATATTTTTTTTTTCTCGTTTTTTTTTCTTCTCTGTCCTTTTTAGTTTGTCCTTTTTAACCTGACCACGAAGTAATCTTGATTGCAGAACAGAACGTCAGCATTCACGGCGATGAGCATCAAGCTGATCTGTAGATCCGACAGGTCACGGCACCAGTGTAACGGACTTGGTCAGGCGATGTAAAGGACGACTCAGGATATGATGACTTTCACAATTTATTGACTCCCTGTAGAGTACAAATGCACATTAATTGCCTTCTGGCTTCCTTTCACAGCACCTCTGCTTCCTAAACCTCTGTAGTGCAAAACGAGACTGAGCACTTATTGTAATTAAATTACATTACAAATACATTATTTGAACAATTGCATGAGGTATTTTGCATAGTAGTGTGCACATTAATCATAGAAAGTCAATAACACAGTCCAGAAAATATTAAGCATTAAATGCAACAAATACATAACACAGAGCATGTGTTTCCTTAAAGAGAGTAGTAAAACAGAAACGCCCAAAGGGCTGAATAAAGTTTGTGTGGGGTAACAGAAACAAACAAAAAAAAAATGTAATGGGTAACCAAAAACGAAAATGCATACCTGTAGAGTACAAATGCACATTAATTGCCTTCTGGCTTCCTTTCACAGCACCTCTGCTTCCTAAACATACAAAAATACAGCGTTTACACTATATATAAAGGGACGCTGAAAACTCCGATGATCTTTCATTGCTATCAGAGCGCGACCCGCGTTCCGTCGTGAAATGACGGATGGAAAGTGAATCTGAAAACTTCAGATTCAGCACAAAATAACACGAGACCGCCACACATAGTGTTAATGTATTAACATCAGACATTATACATTGAAAATGATAGCTTATATTATTCATTTTCCATAGAAAACAGTAAATTAGCTCAGCAGCACATTTTCACTCGACTTATCCTCAGTAGTGCAAAACGAGACTGAGGGAGACTGTACGCTACGGAAGCTTAGGAAGAACAGAAAGGATAGTGTGCAGGAAGGGTCATTTCCGCAGGTAACATTCGCAAAAATAAAAATACATGAAAATTACTCAATGAGATAAAATTCACAAATACTCAAAACCATTAAATGATAAATAAAAACAAAGATGCTAATTTGAAAATAAGAATTACTAAAAGTGCATTTTTAACTCCGTTACACTGGCTTTATAGCCACTATAGGCTACTAGTAATGCTATTGTGTCTACAACAAACGCGTACAAACATTATGGACCTGAATTTTGTATAAGTACTAATGTTTTAAACTTATTTTTCATGTATATATGCTTTATGACATTATTTTCGATTTGATCAAGAACGTAAACTAATGCCAACGCTGTTTGTGTTTAACATTAGAAGCCAGTCAGTTGCTATTGTTGCCAGTCAGATGCTATTGTGTAAAACAAACGTGCATAAAGTTAGAAAATGTAGCAAATTATCATTCAGAAACGTTTAGTAAGAGCCATGTGTGGTGAGGTTCTGTGTACTGTCTTCATCGCCGCTTTATCGGTCTGATTCTGCCTCAAACTGATACTGCAGTTCGACACATATTTACATCTGGACCGGAGCTCACATTTAGCCCGTAAAGGTATGGGCGTTAACCTTCCGGACAACGTGAGCGACAGTTTAGCCAATCACAACACACTGGCCCAAACTAACCAATCTGAGCCCACTACGTGTTTCTGAGGAAGCGGTTTCACAGAATCAGGAAGTCAACCGGACAGAGGAGAGCGCAGCTGACAATAAAGGTGAAGTTTATAAAAAATAAGACTTTAAAAAAAAGACCACGAATACATGTTATATTGCACCCCATAAACACAATCTGGCAAAGAAAAAAAGCAGTCAACCCCCCCCCCCCTTTAAATTATTATTACAAAGGAATGATAAATTCCCATAAAAAAACCCAAAACAGTGATACACATCTGAATAAAGAAGCATAATCACATATACAACCGCATTACTGAGCTAAACTAAGAGAAACTATAGCTGAGGGTATGTCTGGACATGTGTAACAGAGGCCAGCTAGTAGCTGCTGTGCAAGTAAACCTCACTCCTCTGATCTCAATAGGCAACAGACGCCAGAGGCTGCAGTCTATAGCCTCCTTGTGCCCGACTCTCATGCCAGAGACCCGGGTTTGAGGCCCGCTCGGAGCAGGTCAAGTGGGTCCCGGGTGGAGGGGTTACGCATGCGCCCATGAGGCAGTGATAAATAACTTAACATTTCTATCTCTATAAACTATACAAACTCTATTAACTGAAATATAAGGCAAACATGCTTACTTGTAGGTCAATGACTAACACCTCAATGAAACATAAGCAGTAAACATCACAACAAGGTAACAATGTCCCCTCAGCGATCGACGCAACATAATCCCTTCTTCTTCTTCTTCTTCTTCTTCTTCTTCTTCTTCTTCTTCTTCTTCTTCTTCTTCTTCTTCTTCTTGTAGGATACCGGCGGTGTAGACGCTGAACATAACCGTTCAGCAGGCAGCAGCTATTTAACTCACGAGCGCTCAGTCCGAGAATGCTTTCCGATGTCAGAATAAAAGTCCTCACTGCACATTTCAGATGAGATTGAAAAAAAACCCCACATCGCTAGGTTTTTTTTCAGAGGGCTATGCTGGAAATGTGTCTATCTCATAATCAGAATTATCATTGACATAAAATTGGCACACTGGAGGGATCATCTGGGTGGTTTCTACAGTTGTACCTTGACAGGCTGTAGAAATTTCTAATGGAATCACATCCTCATGTTCTGATATCAAAGATACACGAATTTTAATAACACTTTGGGGTTCTCTTTCTCCTAATCTAATTCTCTAATCTCTTTGCATAATGTGTAATAAAAAAAAAGAAAGAAGGAAAAAAAAACAGAAAAGAAAAATCAAATGTCATTTTAAGAGCAATAAAAACACATAGGAAAAAAAAAATCCTGACTGAGGTTATCATAATTCATGCATGAAAGGGCTAAAGAAAAATAGTAGAAATTAAAAAAAGAAGTTTACAATTTATCCAATAAAGAAGTGATTTGTGATTTGTCATTTATAAGATTGCCTCAATAGGTTTGTCCACAAGATGGTGCTAGTATGTTGTCCAGCTCCTCAGGAAGCCGGTGAAAAAAATTGTTTTACCAAACAAATCAAGATAATGATTTTAAAATATATTATAGTGGTTATTGCGTTATAATATATGTATTTATTTCAGTTATGCATTATTATTGTTTAGGCTAAATAGAACCATGGCACATAGTTAAGTCAATTAAAGTAGCTTAGTCATCATAATGAATATGGTAATTTTTGGTGTAACAGCTTTCTAATTGAGCCATGTGGCAGGTCTCTTCATTTACTGCAGTTGGAGGTAGGCTACATTTTGAATATGCATGCATAAACGTGCTGACACCCAAGAGGTGCAGTTGCTGCTGCCTGTTAGGTGGTATAGCATGCTATTTTGACAGAAGGAGATGAGATTCTATTTAGAATGTTTGCTAGGAAGGAACAACATCACAGTGTTTTTGCAACTGTTATTTTTGGACCATAAATATGTGTCTTGCAATGCAGGATAAAACAAAAGAAATTATTTATGTTAATGGTTTAAAAAAAAATCTTGGCATTCACTATCCTGGTTCAACCAGACTCTAGTTCATTTCATTTCCACATAGAGTCTGGAACCGCTCCATTGAGAAACGTTTCCTTCCTTGTAGGCGGGTTCACTATTAAAGTTCAAATCTATTGGATCTGCCCAAAGTCACGATCTGCCATAGCCAATCGCTAACGGGGTGTCGTGAGTGACGTATGTCACGCGCCGAAATGGCTGGAAACAACAAGTCCGAATGATCAGAGGATTATGGGATTTACAATAGGATTTCAGTCAACGAGCGCCGCAGGTTTTGTTAATCTAGGAACAATTATTAATTCGAAATGTATATTTGACACGAAGGACGAAGCTGTGTCTAATCATTACAAATGCGCCGCTGTGGTCGTTTTCTGATCTGCCGCAAATGCTGTAGCAGCTACAGTGAATTATCAGTCTGTCTCTATCTGCAGATGTGTAATAAACAACAATTTTTCATATTACGTCTTATTGTTTCTTACTTACCTTAATTATGGTCTTCAAAGTATGTGTTTGTACATTTTTATGTGGCATTTAGTTTTTTTTAGTAAAACAAATCAACCATTGCCATCTAAAACTGAAAATCAAATATCTTCAAAGTATGGTTTTTCACATTTTTATTTATGACAATTATTTTTAAAAAATCACAACCAATTTGTATGATTTACAACATGTAAAACTGACACACCAACCTCTTACACGAGTGCACAAAGGGGCTCAAAATGTTCTATTCATCACAAGAATCAGTAAATATACAGTTGGGAATATGAGCGACTGACATGACTCCTGAGCGGATCTTCAACAATAGTTTAGCAGCCAGGACTCGGGGCTTCCGAACACCGCGAACACCAGGCTAAACCGTCCGTCCAAAATGTCACGGTCATCGTGCACGAGCTGCCCAGCACAAACTTCCAAACTTTCTGCCTCCTTCACTTGGTCCTCAGTTGTGCAACAAGAGGTGAGACGATAACAATCCGGCTTTAAATTCTGTATATTCGGCAGTTTCTTTTCCAACAACGGACCGAATAGCTTTTCTCACGTCTTTCTCCGCTGCCATTCGCCTTATTCACTTGGCGGCCATTTTGAAAATGGAACGCCGCTGAGGGGTACACTCACCCGGAAGGATGCATGCGACGCAGCAGCACCAGCAATGAAAACCCGCAGTGTGGACCACCAATCTTTCCTGTCTGCCCGAATTAACGATGCAAAATGTGAAGCAAAGTGCCAGTGACTGAAACATCCCCCAGGCTGTGTTAATTAAGGGATACAGTACCTGTATCGGAGGTTTTATCCACGACATTGAACGTAAGAATGGACACCAATTTACCTCAGTTTCTGCAAGCTTGTAGGAAGTTGACTGTGTACTATTAGAATCTATACAAATCCATAACCATCATTATTTTTATTCTTTATGAATCTATACATATATGTGAACTTGTCACCATAGCAGCTTATCATTGTCAGTGTGTAACAGGATCAGTCCCTGTCAGACCTTAAAATCACTTCTCCTCTTTCCTTTTACATACCTGTGAGTGATTTGATTGTTTTACATGCATGTGTGTGTAGGAAGCTACTGGATGTGTATCTATCTAAACAATAAAGTACAATTGTATTACACATGGATGATTTCCTTCATAACTTTATAATTTAATATACCGGAACCAGAACAAGTATAAGAAAACATAAAAAAAAACATTAATAGGCACACTGGTAAAGGTTTGTAAAAGTAACTTTGTATATAGAAGTTGGTACAGGGGAATAATGTAAAATGGCCTGCCTGTACTGTAAGCTTGGAAAAGGAACCAGAACATCAGAAAACAATTCAAATCAACTGGCCGTTCAAAAAACAATGATAGGCAGAATAGTCTAGGTTTGTAAAGGTAACCTTGTACATAGAAGCTATGGAAAAACAACCGGAAAAGCTCAGAACATTAGAAATTGGATTAGGAACAAACCATTTAAAAACATTAACAAAAGAGAACTAAATACATAAACAGATTATCAGTGATGTCTTGCTCGTTGGGGGACAGATGTGTAGCCCATCTTGGCAAAGTGAGCGAGAGTGTAGAGCAGCCTGATGAGATGGTTGCACTGTCCCAAGCCAGCTTTGCAGTTGCACTGTATATCCCTTATAAATGACTGCTCAAGTGACAGCTCCACCTAAAAACATAATCAAACTTTAGATACTTGACACTTCAGAGTTGCTATTAACAAATATATGATATATAAATATATGATATATATATATATATATATATATATATATATAATTGACACACACACTGATTGTGCCGCTAAGAATTAGGTACATCTGGCATTTAAATTAAAATACTGGCCATGAAAATATTACAGGTACATGCTGGTAATGGTAGGTTGTTTAATTACAGCTGTGATGCTTGATAGTTATACTTCTCATTACACTATCATTGTCAACAAGCAATTGCAACATGCACCTAGCCCTGTCTGGCTTTGCTAATTTTAAACAATAATATTTTAGTAGATATCAATGAGGCTTATGTGATATTACATTAACTACAGATAACATGTTAATGAGATCAAATCAATATGTTATTTTCAGTCAGACAGGGAAAGGTACATTGTTGATATGAAGTCACAATGAACTCTTAGCTCCTGTATGTTGTGGTGCCTCATTTTTCTGCACCGAGGGAAAATACCTATAGCCCTCACAAATATGTGTGATGGGTTCCTATTAACTGTCGATTAAAGACATGTTAACTGTTAAATAAAATCTAACATAGTAACTTACACAGTCTGAACAACTCCATATTACAGCTTAGCTTACTAACGTTAAATTACCTCTGGCTGCTGCAAGCTCGCAGAAACTGGCAAATTGGCGTCCATTCCGTTCAATGTCGTGGATAAAACCTCGATACAGGTACTGTATCCCTTAATTAACACAGCCCGGGGGATGTTTCAGTCACTGGCACTTTGCTTCACATTTTGCATCGTTAATTCGGGCAGACAGGAATGATTGGTGGTCCGCATTGCGAGTTTTCATTGCTGGTGCTGCTGCGTCGCATGCATCCCTCCGAGCGAGTGTACCCCTCAGCGGCGTTCCATTTTCAAAATGGCCGCCAAGTGAATAAGGCGAATTACTGAACTCAAACTGACGTGCGCTACATCAACGTCATCTTTCTCAGCCACTCCCTCTATTCGCTGATTGGTCCTACAAAAAATTAGGCGTTTCTCAATGTCAAGGAAGGATCCTCGGAAGCCGGAATTTCAAGGATGCTACGTCATCGGTGTCCGTCGAAGGACTGTTCCAATGTCGAGGATCCTCAGAATTTCAACCAAGGACTGAGTCCTTCATTCGGAAAATATCCCATACACAGGAAAGGATGCATATGTGTAGCCTTCGCGCTCTTAAATCACCCACAATCCTATGCGCAGCTTTGCTATCTTGTTCAAAAAATAAAAAAATGTCGACCGTTAGCGGAGTCGGTGTGATAACGGCAATATGCTTTCAAATGTAAGCAAGTATAATTTCAGTTTAGCCATTTATTTAATGTTTGTTAAACTATTTAACATATCGGCTCAAATTTGCTGAGGGGATTTAAAGCTGTTCCCTTTTACTGGTGATTAACTTTTTAATTTTTACTTCATTATAGCCTTTTTTGTTGGTCACATATTTTACCATTGCATGTGTTTTAACAGCTAGATCATGTTGCTATGGACGTAGTTCTGTTCACTCGGGTAATATAATCGTTTCTGAATGAATAAACTCCTTTTTAAATCAATATTTTCTGTCAAATGATTGATTTATTTGGTAGGTAGCCATGTTATAAGTGGGAAAATGTATAGCGAGGCGGTTGTTACAGCGAATACAACCCCTTCAGGCTGATTCAATCAAGACCCCTCTGCTTTAGAGTTTGCGGGG